TCGTAGGAAAATTTATATTTTGACTCATTCAACTATAATCTCTATCTTACTTTATTTCTTTAACGATTGAACTTCTCATATTGTTCCCCTCAAGTACTCCGGGACAACTCAAGGTAATTTGAGGCCTAAAACAATAATACTAAATAAGACTTTTTTATTTTTAACATTATTTTTAAAAAAATAAAAATATTTTTTAATTTTTTTTTAAGTGAGAGAGGAGGATGTGAAACATTATTTTTATTTTTTAAGAGAGAGAAATAGAGAATGGATGTGAATAAATATGAGTTGACTTTTGAATATTTTTTTATTTATTTTTGAAATTTTAAATTTTTGAGTTTCTAATGTTATGAATTGAATTGTAGGCTCAAATTATTGATTATAATTTTTTGATTAAACTTAAATTTTTTGGGGACTTTTTGTAAGGTTTAAAATTTTTGTGGATTTAAATTTTTGTGAAAATTAGAAGTGAGTCCCCCTAGATGTACTTGTTTGGAGATAAGTCATGCAAGAAAACTTATAAGGGGTTAAATCCATGTTTAAAATTATATGTAATGACTTAAGTCCACTTTTTTTTTACCTCAAAAATATTTTTCCTTAAAAGGAAGTTAAATTAATTTCCTATTTTAGAAATTGTTATCCCTTAATTCAATGTCAATTAAAATATGCTAATATAATCTCCATCATAAATTTAAAATTCAAATTCAAATTTCCATCATATGTATGTATGTATATATATAAGAAACCAAAGCTTGGCGGCGAGAGAAGCAAAGGCTCTCATTGTCTTTGCTATCACCAACCAAAACCTTCTTTCACAGAACACAAAAGGGATTATTTTGGAGTCGATGCCATCAAAGTTGCAACAACTACAATCCAAAGCATGGCACTGGTTACTACAAACAGATGTTGAAACAGATNGGGATTATTTTGGAGTCGATGCCATCAAAGTTGCAACAACTACAATCCAAAGCATGGCACTGGTTACTACAAACAGATGTTGAAACAGATGAAGCAGTACATCCAAGAACCACCCACTGTGGAGAAATGCAACTTGTTGGCAAAGCAGTTGCTTTACACTCATCTTGCTAGCATTCCTAGTCGGTGTGAGTCATTTTGGAAGGAAGTTTGATTATGTGAAGCACGTGTGGAAGAACTGACAGGAACTAAAGGTTGAGGATGCTGGCATTGCTGCGTTGTTTGGGCTGAAGTACTTTGCATGGTATTGTGCCGGTGAGATTGGGGGGAGGGGATTCACATTCACTGGTTGCTATCCCTGAAGACAATTCACAAGGGTAAAAAAAATGTTCGATTTCAAATTCAGTGTTGTTTTCCATTTTCGTCGCTCTTTTTTTATAATCTTTTCGGGTAAACTTTGTGCAATATTGTTAGCATCAGCATGTTACTATGAATTTGAATAGTAAAATTCAAATTCATGTTACTAGTTTTTACTATGAATTTGAATAGTAAAATTCAAATTCATGTTACTAGTTTTTTTATTATNTGTTACTATGAATTTGAATAGTAAAATTCAAATTCATGTTACTAGTTTTTTTATTATGTTACTGTTAATGTTACTGTTTTTGTTAAGTATGTTATTGTTCATGTTACTATTATTTTGAATATGTTACTGTTTTTGTTGAGCATGTTACTATTATTGTTTTCCTAAATATTAATTTTCAATGTTACTATTTTTATTTTTTTGAATATTACTATTTTTTGTATTTGAATGGTACTATTTTTTGCATTTGAATTTTAGAGAAATAATTATTGTTAAGTATTTTACAGTTTTTGTTAAACATGTTACTATTTTTGTTAACATGTTAATATTTTTGTTGAACATGTTACTATTGTTATTTTTTAAAAATATTAATATTGAATGTTTCAATTTTTTTTTATTTTTAAATTTTACTATTTTTTTGTGTCCAAATGATAACTTTTTTTTTTGTATTTGAATATTACTATTTTTTATTTTTAATGTTACTATATATATACCTAATCTATTTACGGATATAGATAGATACGAAAGAGAGAAAATTTTAATGTTAATCAAACTCTTCAAACTATTAACCTATATATAAGTATAGATAGATATGAGAGAGATATTTTAATATTAGTTAAGCTACTAAAATTTAAGAATTTTTAATTTTTAGTTTTATTTCACTTATAAAGGGAAGAGATAGTATAGTAAAATTAACAAAAAAAGGACTTCACAACAAATAAGTTTCATTGACGGACTTAAGTCCAAATAAGTCTATATAGGGGGACCGACCTCCAAATTTCTCTAAATTTTTTTTGTGGACTAGTTATGTATTTAAAATTATGGGACTTTCAAAAATTTGAAGNATCTCCAAATTTTCCTAAATTTTTTTTTGTGGACTAGTTATGTATTTAAAATTATGGGACTTTCAAAAATTTGAAGCCTAAAATTCATGTCTTTTTTTAATACCATTGGGCCGGCCAGCAAGTACTATAATTGGTTTTATAGTAACTCAAAAGTAAGTATATCTATTATTGCTTGTACGAAAAATGCTCGGATGTTTGTTTTTTGGTTCATCGGTTAGGGGTGTTTGGACTATGGCAATTTAATAAATACTAATATTATGAAAACTTGAATATGAAAACTTAATTAATAAATACTATTACGGCATCAATTTATAATTTTGCCTAGGGCAAGTGGCGGAGCCATATTAGGGCAAGGATGGGCACTTGGCCCCCTAATTTTTTGATCACCTTTATATATGTACTCTTAAAATATTATATTCTCGTTTAATTTATTGCATTGGCCCCACTAATAAATACTAGTCCTTTTTATTTTCAACAAATTAGTGGTCTATTGGCCCCCCAAAACAAATTATTTTATTTTTTAATTTAGTAAACAAATATAAAATTTCTTGACCCACATGTATGTTGACCAAAAATAATAAGTCTCTTCTATCCAATACATTGTCTATCATTTTTCAACAACAAATTTTTCAATAAATTTGTTTTATTTATACCAACTCCACAAAAAAAAAAAAATCATATTCATCACACAGTGGTGGAAAAATGTTATATTCAGGTCTTCCTGTCCTGAGTCTTTTTTTTTTTCTCTCTATATGAGTAATACGTAGAAGAGTTTAAACNCAAAAAAAAAAATCATATTCATCACACAGTGGTGGAAAAATGTTTATATTCAGGTCTTCCTGTCCTGAGTCTTTTTCTTTCTCTCTATATGAGTAATACATAGAAGAGTTTAAACACTTTATTAACCAGTAAATGTCTCCTCAGTGGTATTTCTCTATTATTTCATGAAAGCAATTGTTCAGCAGTGATTTAAGACTAGAGAAGGCTTCATTGACTTTGTTGATGCTTGCTTTTATGTTATGTCTGGTTCATGGAATTAATAGGGGAGAGAAAGAATTCAATAGGAAATAAGGAGGCAAATATAACGCAAAGGGAAGCAAAATAAATTCTTTTCTTTTCTTTTTTTGCTTGATTAAATTTTGATTGTTAGATATTTCAAAAAAAGATATCAATATGGCTTTGAGTTCGGATTAGAATTTTGATTCAAGCGAAGAAAGAGTAAACCATTTATTTATAGTTCTAAGATGAGAAGTTCTTGTAGTCAACTCGATTCTTTGAAATTGTTTATCATTTTTTATTAAAATAAAAAATAACAAAAATAAAATAAAAGCTTTGTTTGTTTCAATACATTGTCCCCTGAATTCTTATATTTTTCAATTGCACCCTCAACTATTTAATTACTTTCACATCATTCCAATTATTAACTTTCGTTAAAACTTTGACAGATAATGTTTTCATTTTTGCCCTCAAACATATGTAATTTTTTGTTTCACTTTGCCTTGATATGTTTGCAATTTTTGTCCAAAAAGATATTGGACATCTACATTCTAGGTAACGTAAAATTATTCAATTAGTCGAGGGACTAATATGAAAAATTCTATAGTTCAAGCCAGAAAGTGAAATTGAGTCCATAGTTAAGGGGGTGAAAGCGTAGTTTTGTCCTCATTAATATAATCTTGGTGGTTGAAGAAACTAAGGCAGGGTGGTCGATTGGAGTTGGATGAAAGGGAGGTAGATACTAAAAAGCAATTTTATTTGTAAATCTGTTTAATATTACAGCTAGATATATAAGCAGAGCTTAGGATGAAAAAATGGAAGAAATGAAAAGTACACANAGGGAGGTAGATACTAAAAAGCAATTTTATTTGTAAATCTGTTTAATATTACAGCTATATATATAAGCAGAGCTTAGGATGAAAAAATGGAAGAAATGAAAAGTACACGAATTAGTCTTCTTTTCACCATATTCAAATTTGTCCTCTCTAAATAGGGCAAAAAAGTAAAAGGAAAGATAGGCATATGTGTTAAAATGTAGACTATTACTTTTATATCCTTTGATAAGAACTTAAGCAAAGTTTGTTTATCAAATAGCCTGAGTCAAGTCGAGTTTAAACACTATTCTCGAGCGAACAAATGTGAAAAGTAGATGAATTGATCTTCTTTTCACCCTATTCAAATTTATTCTCTCTAAATTGGGCGAAAAAAATGAAAGGAAAGATAGACATATGTGTTGAAATGTAAACTATCATGTTTATACCTTTTTATAAAAGTTTAAGCAAAGTTTGTTTATCAAATGACCAGAGCCAAGCCGAGTTTAAACGCTATTCTCATACAAACAAATTGAGTTTCAATATTCTAATCTTTGGTTTGATTCATTTGCACTCCTTACAAATACGCACCCAATACATACTAGTCACCAGATATAATGGACCCACAAGAATATCCATACAAGAGCCACCCAATAGTCACCCAATAATAAGAACCCCACAGAGATCAAACTGGAAGCTAATTTGTTGTAACTAGTTGCTTATAATGTTTTCACATCGACTAATTCTTACAGTACATTTGTGATACAGCTGGTTGACCAAATAATCAGTACAACTTATTTGAAATATAATGATTTTGCTTAAGGAGACACATAAATCAAACTGAACTTCAAATCAAACTTGTAAAGCAGAGAATATAGTCTGTAACATAGTCAACAGAAGCAATAGAGTAACACCAAAAAGTGAAATGATAGACCATGGACTGTGAAAATAATTATGCTTTAATTTAGCCATCCATATGTGTTGACGACGTTTACAATGCTCATTAACTTTGTTGAAAATTTCCGAGTAACAGAAAGTAGTAGAATTTAACATGACATTATTACCCAATTTGTTCAACATGATTGAAACGGCTTCATCATTACCTAGCCAATTGTCAATGATTCCATAGTGACGTAGTTTTTCGGCATCCTTGGGAGAATTGATGAGGCAATCTAAAAACTTTGTGTAATCGGTCACATAAGCTGGTTCCTTGTCATTATATTGCTCATATGCAACCAAATTTCTAAAGATGATTTCAATATTATCACCAATGCTCAAAGGTGGGATTTGCATGGTTCCATTTTTGAAGTTTATATCCAGAAACGAGGAACTTTCTGTAGCCTTTTCGAATTTAATCCCGGCCTCTCGAAGCTCTGTGGTGCATTTTATGTATTCCCATGTTCTCCCTTGGTCTCCATCATTCTGACGGGAAGACACAATCATTTTAAATTTGGAACACCAAGTATCATGTACCAGGCCCAGTAGATGTTTGACATTCTGCCTCGGAACATCGGATGCTTCTGAATTCCTTGAACTTTGGAAAAAAAGACGTGAGAAGATGAAGGGTAATGTTTGAAAAATGAAATCAATATTGATATCTAATAAATCTTGGTCGAGTAAGCGAGTGAGAACAAAAAATGGGAGTTGATTTTCAAATATCAGTAAATCTCGAAGTATAATATTATGGAACCGTCGAGATTTAAAAATCAGGTCATCCATATAGTCTCCACATGTAAGCTTGCAAAAGAACTCGATTATAAAGCACCCATCAACAAGCATCATTCGCACAAACTCATCCTTCCCAAGTCCAAGGCACTCTGCATAACATTTTCGTGTTTTTTCTTCCAAATCTTGCATGGCATTAATAAAACTATCCACGCTCAAGCATTTTCTTCGGTTAAGCAACTGTTGTAGGTACCGCAGTTTATGTTGCTCCATCATTTGTAGGTTAGCTTTACCACGGTGATACGGGCCAATAGAAAGTATTTTTGGTTCATAGGCTTTGTCGTTTTCCCCGCGTAGTAGGCCATCCACTTTGAAGATGTAGGGCTCAAAGGGTGTGGATGATGTTGGAGTATAGATAGTAGTCTAGGTTTATTAGATTCTCTTTTTTACCCTTACTCTGTATTATTCTTGGCTATATATACGGGACTCTACTTTGAGTTTGAGTATCCCTTTCACATATTCCAAGTGATGACAAAGAAGCAAGCTCGTTGTTGATGGTAATAAACAACTGGCGGCTCATTTGCTATATCCCTTTGAAATTAACAAAGGCCCGACAAACAGATATCAAAGAATTTTTCGAAAGATACCCTGCTTCTCATTCATGAACACAAGTGAGATATAAAAACTATACTTAACCAAAAAAAAAGAAAGAAATATGAAAATGTAACCAGATTTTAATAGTACGAAATTTGAAGATTGGGGGTGGATTTGAACCAATAATGTAAAATTTCTTCAAATTTAGGCAAATCACACTTTGACCCTCTCAACTACAACCCTCTTTTTATATTGTCCCCTTTATTATTATATTTTTCATATTACACCTTCAACTAATGTGGTTATTTTTACTATGCCCCAATAACTAATATTTGTTACAAATTGAATGAAAAATTATTTTATTTTGTCGCTTGAACTATGTGACTTTTTTAAGTTTGTCCTGACATGTTGACAATTTCTGTCTAAAAAGATAACTAACATTTGTGTTTGGAGCAATGCGAAATAATTGATGTAGATAGGGGTCAATGTGAAGAATTCAATAATTCAAGGGACGAAGTAAAATCGAACACATCATTTCCTTCTTTTCTCTACTCAGAAATTTAGTTTGCCATCCTATTTCAATTTTTAGAGAAATTCTGCAAAAGGGTTAGTTTCATAACGGATGTTGCCTTAATTTTTTTTTCCATATAGTAGATCACTATTTCAATGAATAATTTGATCTTAAAACTTTTAAATTATGCATTTATAACATATATAAAAGTAAGGATAAATGAGTAAAGAGAAGTCTAAAAAAAAGTATAATATAAAATCTTGAGAACACGGGCTTTTGTAAGTAAATAGAAAAATAATAATCTTGCATATGTAATTAATCCTTAGAAATGAATTCTGAAGAACTTACTTGATAAGCTCGTTAGTCCTCCACAGAGCTGCTCTTAGAAAACAAGAAGCTGTTGCTTATGATAGAGGAGGATAAATAATTCTTTATTTATAGGCATTGATAAAGAAAAAGTTGACTTTCTTTTTCTTTTTTTTTATAGTCTACGTGCAACATTTCTATGTTTGTTATATAATTGGTTGCAAATGAGTTGCATGATATCTTCCTACAAGTGGTTCAAATTGAGTTAGAAACAAATAAGAACGAAAACAAGAACACATAAGAAATAGAGTGCGTCACTTTGTTAGGTAACCTTCCTTTCAATTACCGAGGAACTTGGATTCTCTCACTTTCAAAATTTGCCAATTCCATTAAGGTTTCTTATGGTTTTCTTAATATCCAACGATACCATTGGCTATTGATCAAGTTGACTGATGTTAATGAAAAGGGTCCAAGCGGAACCTAAACCAAAACAGGAGTACAAAAATGATAAAATTTGAAAGTATTTGAGAGTGAGATCACTTTGAGAGTTTTACATTATATGCATGAAGACGAACATTCACCCATAAAAGTTAATAAAACAAAATATAAAAAAAATTAAATTTTGTAATTGAGGAGTTAAAAGAAGCAAACACATGTGTCAATACAAAGGATAATGGAAAGGGAATGATAGGATAAGTGGATGGCATGGAAAGAAACTCGAACAATCTCTTAACGAATTGATCAACCAATTGGGCAGAGGGTAGATGGATAGAGTGAAATGTTCTTACCAGTTAGAAATCTCAAGTCCCGTATTGGACAAGTAATGTGGCAATTTATAGCACAATATTTACAACATGGAGACCCCCCTTGGGTTTGAATTCATTCCACATAGACTCCCTTTGTCTTCCTTCTTCAATGTTGTTAACGGAAATTGATAATTTCATCTAATTTTTTTATATTATTTTTACAATTATGCTTTTCCAAATTTAGAACCAAAAAAAAATTAAAAATTTAATAAAATCAAATATTTAGTACCAAAAAATTGATATAATTTAGTACTCCAAAAAATTGATTAAATGAATTTCAATATTAATTTGATAACAATAAAAATTAATTTGATATTAATTCGACAAAGTTGAATATAAATTAGACAAAATTTAATGCTAATTTTTGATAAAATTATATATTAATTTACAATCTAAGGTTCATTTCGTGTTGAATATTATTTGGTTTTTATAGTCAATGTGTTATTTTTTTATTTACATTAAGTGTTATTTACAAATTAAGAAGCAAGTGACAAAATACATGCCGTCAGATATATTAAACCTTTGAATTAGTTTCATGAGTCTTGCAGTTGTAAAAGGAATAAAAATCTAATTAGGACCATCGAATTAAAATGATATGAACTGTGAAAAGGTTCAAGACAAACAATCTAATTACTTTATTATATAAATATTATTCCCATCAATTACTAGGATTGGTCTTACATTACCTCAAAAGTAAGCATTATTTTCGCTTGTATGAAAAAAGCCCAAGTGTGTGGGCAAAGTGAAGAAAACACATTGTTTAAGAGGCAAAGTGAGCAACTTTTTGACAATTGATAATAGGTGTTAATCAGTAGGCACAATCATACTAAGAAACATAGTTGAGGGTGCAATTAGAAAACATGATATACTACATGTACCTCTCTTCAAGTATGTTTTAATATTGTTAAATGCTCAATTTACAACAATACAACTATGGTCAAGATTAATTTAATTTTTATCTACTTTAATCCAATGGTATAATATTTACTCTAAATTTTCTTTACCTGCTCAAAATATTATTTTCTCTACACAACCCCTAATGTCAAATAACTCAACCAACATATTCTTCAATGTCAGACAACCACACCTAACACGATCTCTCTTCTCTCTCCCCTATCTCTCCTTTATTTTTTTTATGTTCACTTTAATTTTTAATTGCACAATTAAAAAAAAGAAAAAATAAATTTTAAATCATAATTTTAAATGTTGCACGATCAATGCTCATTTTTTGAGAACACATCATGAGAGATGTTGAAGGGCTTATGGTTGCTCTACTATATGCATACTAATGGGGCAATGTTTCTCATTGTGGTTCACTTTCGTATTTTTCGTGGTCTATGTCATTCTAATGATACGATTTGCAAGAAAATCAAAAAATAATAATCTTATAGCATATACATATGATTTAGAATCAAAACATACATATATATTAACCCTAACATCAATGAACAAGTTTAGGAAGAAACTCCTATCTTGATTCCGTAGTTTGTGTGTGAACCTAGCGTGTTTAATCCGTTTTAACGTGAGAATCTCTTTCAACTTTGTATTTCTCTTCTTATTTCTTGCTCTCTAGAGTTCTCTAGGATTAAGAACCGATGAAATAGGGCTAGGGAAGACGTCCTTAGGTATTTAATATAATAAAAAAGTCTAATCAGCGCCGACCTAATATTCAAAAACGCAATAGTATGTTCTAACTAGAGGCTTGGCGTTCGAACTATCTACAGTATGTTCGAACGTAATATTGGGCATTCAAACGTTGTTTGCTCTCAGTACTTTTGTTTTTCTATCAGAGTTTCTATCAAACATCAAAGTACTGGAACTAACTGTTGTTCGAATGTATCCATTTATGTTCGAACGGAATCTAGTTTTTACCTGAACTTCCAAGGAAGTTTTGGCCTAGTTAGATGTTGATTTAGGAAATGTTTGTGAAACACAATTTTGTATCCCTGGAAGTCTAGTGTTTATTGTAAAAAATAATAGATCAATTGGACGTCAGAGTAAAAAGTTATGGTCCAAATACTAAGATAATGTCAAATTTCTTCCTACCCAAATTCACTCTAAAATGCGTTTTAACTCCGGAATAATTCATAACTTCTAATACACCCCATATTACCTCTCCCAAAGTTTTTTTTATTTATGCTCTGACAATCTATATGGTTCATTTTTATGGCATTACATTTATAAACATTACGAAAACAATTACGTTACTATATTAAGATTAACATGTGGGGGTTTACAAAAACAAAGGGGAGGGGAGGTGGGTTTCAATAGCAAAACATAGGGGTGGAGGGAGAGACGAATACTTGGTTGTTCAGTTGGAGAAGTTCAGCAAAAAGAAGTGGCGATTAAGTTGATCTCTTCAGATCTAGCGAGCATGAAGGCCTCCTAGGTTTTAGCAAGGAGGATAGCTAGCTCGGTTGGAACTAGTTTTTGGAGTCAGGCTCGCCAAAATAGCTAAAAATTGGACAATAGCTAGTGGGTTGAAGATACTCTTAGATGGTGTCTTATGGATTGCATTATGTCTCTTGGGTTGCATTCATTCGTATGGTGGCTGTTCAAAATAGTCATCATTCTGTCTATAAATAACTCAGATTCATTAGCATTGAGTACTTATAAAATTAGTTATTAAGGCCGTCATTAAATTCATCATTTTTGTGATTAAGAGCATACATTTGTAATAGTATAAATCACAATCTTTGGTTCATTAGGCAATCAGATTGGGGTGCTGCTTTTGATTGCATGAGATCATTATATCCTAAGAAGCAAACGTCAAAATTTCCATTAGCGCCAGTGTAGGGGCGAAATTTATTTTAATGACATAATGTCAAATACTAACCTTGATCTATAAAGTTTAAATTTTGTTCTTTTTCTACAAAAAGATCAATTTATTTATTGTGATTTTAATTCTTATATGCTACTGTTTTTTTTAAATTGCATGATGTAAATAAAAATTTTTCAATTAGTAATTGTAATATTATAGAAATTCAAACCAACAATAAAGACTAAAACTCAAGTAATAAACGGAAAAAATCGAGTTTTTACGATCAATCGGTCAT